GGAGGTCAACTGTTATCTGAGCTGCCATGGAGTGGTTTTGTCAGGAACACTTTAATGCAGACTGGTTCCGAGATGTTTTTAGCTGATGTCCTCGTCTATAACACTTCAGACTATGATCCTTGCAGGACAGTCAGCATTATGCTAGGACATATTCCATGGTTAAACTTGGATAAGCAAGCATGCCTAATTAAGGGGGGGCTGAGCAGAAGTGACAGTGCACCCCACCAGCTCTACATGACCTGCACCACAGTTCATGAAGATGTGCATACATCAGAGACCTAGGTCAGAATGATGTATATCATGGAGGCTGGAACACCTTTCCTGTGGGGCCAGGCTGAGAGAGCTGGGCTGGGTGAGCCTGGAGAAGAGAAGGCTCCTGAAGGGGAGACCTGAGAGCAGCTCCAGTGCCTGAAGGGGCTGCAGGAAAGCTGGAGAGGGGCTTGGGACAAGGGCCTGTAGGGACAGGCCAAGGGGAATGGCTTTAACCTGCCCGAGGGGAGACTGAGCTGAGCTCTTAGGCAGAAGCTCTTCCCTGTGAGGGTGCTGAGGCGCTGGCACAGGGTGCCCAGAGAAGCTGTGGCTGCCCCATCCCTGGCAGTGTTCAAGGTCAGGTTGGACACAGGGGCTTGGAGCAAGCTGCTCTAGTGGAAGGCGTCCCTGCCCGTGGCAGGGGTTGGAGCTGGATGAGCTTTAAGGTCTCTTCCAGCACAAACCACTCTGTGATTCAATGATACACATTAAATACCCTTCATGTTCATTTTGTCACCAGAAGGAGATGAGATGTTTTACTACACCAGCCAGACCTGCTGGATGAGCGGCACAGTGAATACCGGTGTCCTCCATAGCTACCCAGTGCCTCTCAGTCCCTCATTTTGTGAGTATCAACCAAGTTCAAAAGAGCTGGATGTCATCCACATTCCCACTTGTTCCCTGGACATCTTTGAAGCTAGACTTCCTCGCTTCATTTCCGTGAGCCAAATTGTTTGCTCTGAACTGGCAAAAGATGAATCCCAGAGCTCACACTTTGTTTTGACATCTGCATTAGCAGCGTGGTGGTGTTTCGGTTTAGCGCTCTGTGTCTGTGGGTTTCATGCTGCCTGGGTCTTATCATTCTTCCACTTGGTTTGTGCAGGCCACTGGAGCTATGTGAAGACACTCAGAGCTTCGTGTCAAGGTTGCCAGCATTTGCACCTTGTCATTACCAAACGGATGATGGGTCACGCTCAGCAAAGGACACTGAATCCCCACCATGCATGTGCTCAAAGCAGAGTCGGCCCATGGCCTGCTCTTTGCTTAATCTACATGGCATCTTTCTGCAACAAAGCTTTTCCTTGACCTAACAGGGCTCCCACGCTTGCTGCAAGGCACAGAAACATTGAATAGGTTGGTTTGGGTTGGAAAGGATCTTTAGATGTCCAAGAAGGATGTTCCAACCTTCTTGTAATGAGCAGGGACATCTTCAGCTGGATCACATTGCTCAGAGCCCCATTCAACCTGGCTGGGAATGTTTCCAGGGATGGGGCAAAGACCCAGGCTGAGTTGCCAAAGAAGATATCAACAGTGTCTGATGCTATCCAGGTTTATCAAAATTACAGCAGGTTGATTAACCTCTATCAGAGCCCTTCTGCAGGTGATGCAAGAGAGGGACAAAGAAGTAGATTTGCAAGTAATGCTCCAAAATCAAAGCTCTGACTTAAAACTAGGTGCTTTCGTAGAATCCTAGAATAGTTAGGGTTGGAAAGGACTTGAAGATCATCCAGTTCCAACCCCCTGCCATGGCCAGGGACACCTCACACTAAACCATGGCACCCAAGGCTCTGTCCAACCTGGCCTTGAACACTGCCAGGGATGGAGCATTCACAACCTCCCTGGACAACCCATTCCAGTGCCTCAGCACCCTTACAGGAAAGAATTTCCTCCTTATATCCAACCTAAACTTCCCCTGTTTAAGTTTTAACCCGTTACCCCTTGTCCTGTCACTACAGTCCCTAACAAATAGTCCATCCCCAGCATCCTTTTACTTCCATACAAAAAAAGAAGTAATCTCACCTAACATAGGCATCTACGAAAGAGGCCTCCATGCAAGCTAGCCACCCCAGGCTCCCTTTATAGTCAGTGAAGAGAAACAGAGCATGGTTCTGACCTCATAGAAATGTCTACATAAGGCAGAGATGAATAGCACCACAGAAGTGCCTGTTTTCCTCTCTTGACTCTAACATCTGAGGTGCATGGGATATGCAGCTCAGATGGAGATGTCTTCAGGCACGGGGTCTGGAAAACCAAGTAATATTGGTTTCACCACCATGAATCCCCCTGGAGTGACAGTGCAAAGCATGCCAGGTCTTAGCTCTAATGGGAGTTAAGTGCGTTCTTTGCACTGAATGGGAAGGAAAGATTGAGCAGAGAGGGGGCAGCACACATAAAACCAAACTCACTGTACTCAGAAGCGAAGGAAGGCAAATACTGTCCACTCATGAAGTACTTCTATGACGTAGATACACACATTCTATTCTATTCTATTCTATTCTATTCTATTCTATTCTATTCTATGATTCTACTTTGGGTTAACCCAGCCTGACATTCCTGGGGACAGAGGCTGGAGAAGCATTGCTCCCCTCAACTCTGGGCATATAGAACCTGGGACAGACAATGAACTGGAGGAAGGAGATGCTTTAATGGGCTATTCCGGTCATGCGGTGTCTTGTGATGAAAACTCACTAACACGATGCATTGCCAACTGCCTTTAGAAGAATGAAACTCTTCCCATTTGCAGCTCCCCTTGGACATTTTTAATCAGTTAATTTCTCCCCAGGCTACCCCCCAGGCAGGCCGGAGTTCAGGCAGGATTCCCATTAGAAATAGGAAAAGACCTGTCTGATCATTGAGTTTATCCAGCTGTGTAGTTTTCAGTGAGTAATGACCACTGGGGCTTTAGCAAATTGTGGGGGCAGTAGGGCAAGGGAGGGAAGTGATGGCTTTTAATCATCACAGACTTGATGGCTGCAGAGGTTTGTTATGCTGGTTCTTATTGACGTGGTTTCTTCTCTATATATGTTTATGCACATGTACATGATTGTGGCATCTTTCTCCTAGATTCCCTTGATATACTTTTTCCTTCATGTAGTAAGCCCATGATTTGGGGGGGAAAAGATACTTTTTAGGACCAAAGTGCAACCCTTTTTAGGTTTAATTGTTCTGTGTCTGGGTCTAAATCAGGTTAATTTCTCCTTTGCATGGAATATATGAGTCTTGGCCAGTTGTCCCAGTCAAGGCCCTCAAACAACCCAGTGAAGATGGATGAATCCCATATGAGAAGTTCCCATTCATGTCTCACTTCAGGGCTGCCCTGTGAATTCACATTTAAAGGTCTGCATGGTGTAACCATCACCTTATCCTTTCTCTTGTGCTGTCCTGCAGAACAAGGATAATGGAGTCCTTCATATCCTGGAAGGTTTTAAGGCCACATTTCAATGAACATGATGAGCTGTCAGAAGCTGTCACCACTGTGGGGTGTCACCTCACCACCTCCTGCCCCACAACAAGCAGTTCTGGGTGTTGCACCAGGTCAGGCAACCAAGCTCTATTTAAATGGAGACTTCCTAAGCTGTTTTGCAGGGATATCAATCCCTGTCATGACACAAATGGTTGGGGTGGCCCCAGAATGCCGATGGGGAGGGATAAGGGGAAAGGATCCATGGCAAGAGGAGAAAAGGACTGCTGCTCTCTAGGGCAAAATGTGTTCACAGAAAGGCTATCCACACCATATAAAGTCACTATAGCCCTAGGAAACTCAGGCATATATAATTTTGCAATTATTTTTTCCTGTATCTCAGTGGTTCTTTCTTCACTTGCAATTTCAGGCCTTATTTTGTGGCCTCGCTTAAACCAGCCTGTGAGAAACCATAGAAAACGTGGAAATTGAATGTAAACGAAAGCGAAGGCAACTGGAAACCAGCCAGCAGAAAAGTGGTGGTGATCAGTCTGCGCTCCCCTTGTGAGCTGAAAACGCGCACTGCAAAGTGACACAGGGAATATTCCCCTTTAAACACTCGTTATTTCTGTGCTGTAATTGGTAGTTTAGGATAGTTTAGGAGGGATCTATTTAAACGAAAACCACTTTTGTCAAGAGATCTGCCCTTTGAAAGGATTCAAAACTTGGCTGAATTAGTCTCAAAACTGCTAATGAAAGAGCACCCCAGGTGCAGAGGAGCAAAAGCTGAGTGCAGAAACAAAGCGCGGTCAATCGTCCCAGAACAAATGCATCTGCTATAGATGGGAACAGGATCTTAAAAACCAAATAATAGGCTCATGTCACTCCTCTTGTCAGGTTGTAATTAAAGAGTGAGGTATTCGGTGTGAGGGGGGTCCCTGTGTCCCCTTTCATAGCCTGTGAGCGCTCACCGCTGGTTCTCGTGTGTTACGTTGCCGCATCGCAGGGCACAGCTCAGGCTGCTGAGTGTAAATCAGTGGCCCCGGCTGGTTGCTTGCAGTTAATCCCCTGCCACCCTCCGGCTCTCCTGGTGCTTGTGTGGTCTGTTCACATGTTGTTTGAAAGCAAAATAACACGGCATCGGGTGGGACAGACCCGGGGCTAACATCAAGGAGCCTGTCTCTGCCAACCTTGCTTTGTTCCAGCTAAGCTATTTATAAGGGTCAACGCCGATTTAGCTGGTGTCTTTTGAACTTGTTTGTTCAGTGTGGCTTCCAGGCCAAATTAAATCATTTGGGTCCATCAATTACGTTCCAAAGGATTTTTTGTGGAGCTTTTTTTTGTTGTTTGTTTGCTAGTGTTTGCCTCCAAAAGAAAACATGAAAGGGGCAGAAAAAGGTGTAAAAGGAAGAAATTGCCATTAGACATGAATGGGGCTGGAAGAATGCCTGATATTACAAGCAAAGATAGAAAAAAACACCCTATCCTTGAAGGCCAAACCCAGCTGCCAGAGAATTTATTGGATTTCCCCTTCCAAACAAAAGGATTGACTTCAATGACATTCCTCCAGCCCTGATTTGTGTCAGCAGCGTTACATGTGAAGTGCATTTGACAGAGGATATTTTGATGGGAAACCTCCACACACACACACACCTTTTCTGTGTTACAGCCTGAGAAAGGAGGGGCATATAGGAAACACTGGGATGGATTCTCCAAGAGCAGCTTAACGTGGGTCTGGAAGAAAGGCTCATCTATGGGAGACCAAGCGCAGGGTGAGACAGCACCTTTAATTCCAAGATAAGGGCATAAAAAAGAAACTTGGAGGGGTTCTCCAGGGAGATTTCAGTTTTCATCAGTCATCCTCCTCTGGACAATGGTATTCCTGTGGGACAGGTTTGCCTTTGGTGGAAGCAGGTTTATGGCCTATCCAGGCTGAACTTTGGTTCCTCCTTTCGTTTGTGCTTGTTTGGAGCAAGAGCAAATTGTTGGCAAATCAATTGCAAATATGGGAAGTCATCAGTAATTCTGGGAAGTGCAGAGGTCTGGTGGGTGATGGGGAAGGTTTGAGCACAAGCCTTGCAGGGGCAGTGTCAGCAGCAGATGATAACCTCCTGGCATGGACCTCGTGCTGTGTCTCTTCAATCAACACCTCTGGCCATCGCTTGTAAGATGTGACCCCCATAGCAGCAACCCTGTTAGACAAAAATGCCCCTTTGGCAGGCACTGGATGCGTAGATAAGACAAAGAAAAGTTCAAAGTCAAGTGGGATATCCTCAGCATTCAATCAATTAATCAGCTGTGAATACCGATAAAAGGTGATGCACCCTTCTCCCCACACTGAGATATTTTGGGTCTCAGTTTCTCTGCATGAACTTGTAGCTGGAAATGGCTCCTTCCATTCCCTACAAGTTGTTATTCACTAAAGACTTCCTGATGGAATGATTTTCAACCCAGGTTTTAACCTGAGTCTATCATGACCCTACCTAAGCAAGCTGGCAAAATGCAGTGCCCATGGGCACTGAGCATCCTCTGCTCTGCACATAATACAGTCATTTCCCATCTGCATCTTGAACTGGTCTGGATGGGTGCTTCTTTGAAGTGCAGGACTGGTCCTAGTGAACCTCCTCTTGTTCACAATGCCATACCCCCCCGAGTGATTGCATGTTTAGGGTGCTCCCTGGGCTTTAACCAGAACTCCAGAGCTTCCAAAGGTGGCACACATCATAGAATCACTGCATCATATAACTGTATGGGTTGGAAGGGACCTTGAAGCTCATCCAGCTCCTTTAGAAACCTAGCAGGTTTCTAATATCCAATCTAAATCTCCCTTGTTTAAGTTTAAACCCATAGCCCCTTGTCCTGTCCCTACAGACCCTTGTCCCAAGCCCCTCTCCAGCTTTCCTGCAGCCCCTTCAGGCACTGGAGCTGCTCTCAGGTCTCCCCTTCAGGAGCCTTCTCTTCTCCAGGCTGACCCAGCCCAGCTCTCTCAGCCTGACTCCAGAGCAGAGCTGCTCCAGCCCTCGCAGCAGCTCCATGGCCTCCTCTGGCTTCGCTCCAACAGCTCCACGTCCCTCTTGTGCTGCTGCCCCAGAGCTGGATCAGGGCTGCAGGGGGGTTCTCCCCTTCACGCAGCAGAGGGGCAGGATCCCCTCCCTGAGCTGCTGGCCAAAATCCCAAAGATCTCACTCTTTGGGGAGAGAAAAGATATTTCCCTCCCTCTTTATATTAGGATGGTTTGGGCCAAAGAATGGTACCAAAACTTTTGAAATCAGGCTTGAAAGCGTGAGGCAAAGCACAAGGTCTGAGATGACTGGAAACACTGCAGACCCAGGTGATGGGATGCCTGGCTGCCCAACTTCAAATTCCCAGGAAATTCCTAGGAAATTCCCAGCATCTCAGCATCTACTGCCAAGGGACCAGAGCCCAGTGATTTAGCTGGGCATGATAACAAGATGGTCTAAGAGGTTGTATATGTGATGCTCTTCATTAAATGCTATCCTTATGCCTGCTTTGGTCTGCATGAAAACTTGATTGCATGAATATCCCTGCTGAAAGCGAGGTGTGAGGTCACACGTGTCTTCCGGGTGTTTTGCTGTATGAAAAGAAATCTTTGCTGTGGTGTGAGATGTTTATGAGGTGATATCTATGCCTGGGAGACATGAAGAGAGGAAGAAAGCCAAAGTTCAAGTGCACAGGTAAATAGCCTTCAAAAACTCACCAAATTCACCTTCAAGACATTAAGTCACTAATATAACACCCCAAGTTCCCGATGTATTTGCTATTTAAGTTTCTAAACTCACTTCTGTATTTTAATCATGGTGGATGCAGGGACAGGAGCATCATTATTGCCACAACGGTATAAGGAGATCAGAAAACGCAGTAGCCAAACTGCTGGAGGATGACTGCAAGCAAGAAGGAAGAGAGGGAAAAGGTGAGGATGGAAATACACATTTTGTGTCTGAAGTCAGGTAACTGGCTTCTATCTAAGAGAAAACAGGGATAAGACATGGTTATTGATCTACAGGGAAAAGGAAGGAAAGGAAAAGAACACAGGAGCATCACCAACAAATAAAAGCTACTGGCTGTGAGATGAGATAATATCATCTGGGGGATTTGGGTATGAGCAGCATCTGCTTTGTATTGAGTTTCACTTTCACCAGTGTCCTCACTGGAGATGGTTAGAAAAGTTGTCTTTCCAGTCATAAGAGTGTGTGTTGGAGTCAGCACTCAATGGGTTCAATGGGTGTCAGGCCAAACGCAAGGCTCAGATTTACAAGTGATTCCCATTGCCTTGCAGAGGGTGGACAGCTGGGAAGGAGGTGCTGCTTTGGCTGCAGAATGGATGCAGGATGCTCTGATCTGCACACCATGATGTGGGAGTCAGGAGCTCCTGATTGCTCTGACAGTTCCCTGTTCAGCCGTGGATGTGTCGATGAAGCACGAATGTTCAAAGATGGCAGCTTAAGAGGTAGGACCCCCCCAATGACATAGCTTAAACTTCAAAGGAGCTGAGTAACCAGCAGGTTTCATTTGTAATGAAATAAAAGGAACTAAGTACCCCAGAGCATTTCCAAGGATTTGTTTAGCTTTCTTTACCTTTTCTGCATCAGTTTCACAGAATCCCAGACTGGTTTGGGCTGGAAGGGACCTTGAAGCTTCCACTAGAGCAGCTTGCTCCAAGCCCCTGTGTCCAACCTGGCCTTGAACACTGCCAGGGATGGGGCAGCCACAGCTTCTCTGGGCACCCTGTGCCAGTGCCTCAGCACCCTCACAGGGAAGAGCTTCTGCCTAAGAGCTCAGCTCAGTCTCCCCTCGGGCAGGTTAAAGCCATTCCCCTTGGCCTGTACGTACAGGTCCTTGTCCCAAGCCCCTCTCCAGCTTTCCTGCAGCCCCTTTAGGCACTGGAGCTGCTCTCAGGTCTCCCCTTCAGGAGCCTTCTCTTCTCCAGGCTGCCCCAGCCCAGCTCTCTCAGCCTGGCTCCAGAGCAGAGCTGCTCCAGCCCTCGCAGCATCTCCATGGCCTCCTCTGGACTCGCTCCAACAGCTCCAAGTCCTTCTTCTGTTTGGGGCCCCAGAGCTGAATGTAGGACAGTTACGCTTGTCTCTCCCATGGGATCACAGTGAAGAGTTACACAGGAGATCTTAAGAAAGGGGTTACTTTTTTGGCTTGCATTTATGGACCAAAAGGGAAACTTCTAGTTCAGGCAGTGATGACCTACAGCTCATGACTGCAAAGACAAGCAATCCTGTCTTGAGTGGTGCAAGCCATGATGAGAAGGAGCTCCCATAGGGGTGTCTCATGCAGGATGAGGGCAATGGAGAAGGTATTGTTTTACTTGAGCACCCATTCGTGGCTTAAAACACATGACTTGATTTGTCACACTTCATTTTGCAGCTGGGACAGATGAAAAGTGACATGAACAGTTCAGAAAGATGAAAGGTAACTTGGTTTGCTGCCATAAACTCAGAGTGCAATTCAGTGGTCGTAGTAGTAGCAGTAGTAGTAGTAGTAGTAGTAGTAGTAGTAGTAGTAGTAGTAGTAGTAGTAGTAGTATGGAAGGGTTAACCCTGAGACATGGATGGCCATTATCTTAAGACTCTTGGGTCCTGATGTATTAGGGTTTTGAGGTGTTTAACAATGTCTAAGGTTAACCTATGGCTCTTGATGTAGTCAGAGCCTTTCCAGCAGTGGAAGAAACAGCCCTTTGGCTGGATGTCAGCTTGAGAAGCCCTGTGTTTCGTCTGCCGTTGACTGGAGGGAGAAAATGAAGGCATAGCAAGACAGTAGCTGTGCTGCATCCTCTGGGGCTGCTGACCCCCAGCCAGCCTGACAGAACACTGCAGAGGTTTGTCCATTGATCATCTCGCTTTTCCTGCTGAGAAATGGAGAGGAATGATTTTTCTCCCTGACTTTTGCCTCTCCAGAAAGCCATTTGCAATGAGCTCAATGGGCAAAATGCCACAAACAATCACTCAGACCCCAGAATAAGCCACCAGGTTAAGTGAGAAATCCCCTTGTAGATGAATGGCTGAGGGGCAATGCAATTAACCAAAGTCCCTTCTTCAGTTTAAGGACTGAGCTATTTGGTGGTGGGTTGGGTTAAAATCTCCCTCTGCCTGCTTCTAGCTCTTGGTACCTTTATGGGGTGGTGTTTGATGGGAGGGTGAAAGGTTTTGCTTACAAAAATGGCATGAAGGAGTGGCTTTCCCATGTTAGAACACCTGGTTGTGTGAAGTGGGAGACAGGCTACACCATGTCCTCTTTGGTCTCCTGCTGTGTGGCATGGAGAGCTGAGTTGAGAGGCTGATGGACATGTTCCTCTCCCTTTCCTTCTTGGGAAGAAATTCCTTTCTGCCTTGTGTTCCTATATCCTAAAACCTCATTGGTAACTCCATGTCCAGCATGTAGCGATAGGACAAGAGGGAATGGGTTCAAACTAAAACAGGGGAAGTTCAGGTTGGATATAAGGAAGAAATTGTTCCCTGATGGTGCTGAGGTGCTGGCACAGGGTGCCCAAAGAAGTGGTGAATGCTCCATCCCTGGCAGTGTTCAAGGAAAGGCTGGACAGAGCCTTGGGTGCCATGGTTTAGTGTGAGGTGTCCCTGCCCATGGCAGGGGGTTGGAACTGGATGTTCTTAAGGTCCTTTCCAACCCAAACCTTTCTATGGTTCTATGTTTCTATGTGAGACAGAAATGTCTCAGGACGTGGGTTGGGAAACATGGTGGGACAGTGTCTTCTTCTTGGCCACGGCTGGGGGATACAGCATGTCTGGATGGGGACCCGCAAGGCAGCACATCAGTGTCACTGTTCTTCATGTAGCCCAGGTCTTTGGTGGTCTATACAAGAACTGGATACCTCTGGGCTCAGCTTTTCTGTGATTTCAACCTCAACCTGACTGCAGAGTGTTGAGAGTTCGGGGTACCTTTGGGGTAAAAGAGGACAGGGCCCTGTCTGAATGCCTGCTGTTACTTTCACCACCCAGAGAAAGCTCTGGGTTATGGTAGGGAGAAGGCCAAGTCTCCTTCAAATCACAAGAGGGAGAATTTGGCAGCCTCTTCCCTTCATGCTCTCCCAGATGTTTGACTTCATCACAGAGACACCGTCCTGGTTTGGCAGCTCCTGCTCAGGGAAATCCTTGTGGAGCTGGGAAAAGCGGGATTGAAGGATGTGAAGTAGTATAGGGTAGAGCTCAAACAGGTTTAGGGGGAAGGAGTATGGGTTAGAAAAGCACTGAAACTCCTGCATATTGATCTCAACCTTCCTGCTCTGAGCAATGAATATGGCTCCTGGAGTCCATCAGCTGCATGGCTCGCCTTGGACTGACCTTGTGGGAGTTTTTGGGTAAATGGGCAAAGGCAATAGCATCCACTTGTCCAAACAGAGGCACACGTCCTTCTGGGTGACACTTGAGGTGCTCATTCCTGGGAAAACAGAAGGTAGGAGTTGCTTCCAGGATGGACTGTAGTGATAGGACAAGGGGTAATGGGTTAAAACTGAAACAGGGAAAGTTTAGATTGGATCTAAGGAAGGAGTTCTTTACTGTGAGGGTGCTGAGGCACTGGAATGGGTTGCCCAGGGAGGTTGTGAATGTTCCATCCCTGGCGGTGTTCAAGGCCAGGTTGGACAGAGCCTTGGGTGCCATGGTTTAGTGTGGGGTGTCCCTGGCCATGGCAGGGGGATTGGAACTGGATGATCTTAAGGTCCTTTCCAACCCAAACTATTCAATAATTCTATGGGTGAAAGCAGGTCCCATTATGGAACCTTATAGATTGTATAGGGGCACCTGTATGTTCAACAAGGAGATTGTCAGCGGATGGCAGAGTGGGCTGAGAGCAGGGTTTGAAACCTGGGATCACCATGGGTGAGAAGGATGCCATCCGAAGAGGACATAGGCATGGAGGGAGGAAGATGGGAGTCAGTGCCAGAGGTAGAGCCTGGCTGTGCTCTAGGAGGTGCAGAGGTGCTTTGTGAGGACAGCTTTGGGTGAAGACCTTATGTCCATTGTGGGAAGGGACTGGTAACGTCCTGTTCAAAGACTGCAGTTTCGAAAGTGGAGAACACTAATACAGGAAACTTCTTTTTTACCATTTGACTCCCATCTGCACAACGAATCACTTCCCAGAACCATGATGCTGAAGATCCTACCACAAGAAGGGAGGCAGAGCTTTAATTTCTTTCTTTGTCTAATATTGGAAATCCATTTGGTCTGCATCTGAGGGCTCTCAGCTGACCGCACTTCCATGATCACATCCCACAATGCTGCGCTCAAAATAGGTCATGAGCATTTGGGCCATGTTGAGAAACCATTTAGCCATGCGCTATGGTTCTTCCTTGGTCAAGGGCATGCTCAAATATAGGTTTATGTACATCCCTGTCTCAAACTGATGCATTATGTGCTATGTGTTGGTAAATGCAAACAGGGAGCGGAGTTAATGCCAGAATCTATTTGACCTTTCCTTTTTATTTCCTTTGCAATTTTATTTCCCTCTTTCATAAAAGCCCATTTTGCTTTGCTCTATGTGATTAAATCCACCCAGGTCAAGCAAATGGTAACCACCAAGATGACAGCTGCTGAAACCATTCATTCATCCATCCCATCCCATCCCATCCCATCCCATCCCATCCCATCCCATCCCATCCCATCCCATCCCATCCCATCCCATCCCACCACATCCCAAATACACATGCACAAGCTGACATAAGGCCCCCCCAGTCCAGCTGGGAGATGTAGTAATGTAACAAGGGGACAGAATGAAATCACCCCCTCATCCAAACAAGCAGCAAGAAGGGACATGGGGTTTTAGGGGGTGTGCATTGGGTTTTGGGGGTTTTGATTATCTTTCCCTCCTTGCTGCAACAATTCAAAGCCAGGAGAGAGATTTCAAGCAAAACCCCACCAAA